CATTTTGTTGTGTTTATGTTGTTATAAACATCATAATTGGTTTATGTTAGAAGAAAAAAAAGGCATACCCATAGTCCCAGAGGCGTCGTTGCCGCCATAGAAAGTGGCATGGGTGCTCTGCCACAGCCCACCATTATAAACCCCTAGGATTCTCGCATTCACCAACACGGAAAGCAAGAGCAAAGGAGCAAAGCAGAGCATAACCACAGAAGGCGCCATTGTTTGTATTCGGGAGATGGAGAAAGACTGAGAGAAAGAACTCAGCTCACGCCTGGGTTTGTTGCCAACCCAATCTCCCGAGCTGGGTTCATCCTGGGTTCGCGAAGAAGATGAGGATAGAAATGGGAAATGAAAAGATAAAGGGAAACAATGATTTTTTTTTTTAATTATTTTAAGACCTATTGATTACATGGAAAATAAATCTGATTGCCAACTCATCAATTTTGCCACGTGTAATCCTATGTCACCATTAAAAAGAAAAAAAAAAGACATTTAACGGATAATTATGCCATGCTGTCACTTAACTGACAAAAGGACTAAAAAGGGGTCGGATTTCAAACAGTAAAGATCAAAAATGGGATTTTTTCGGTATAGGGACTAAAAAGGGGCTTTTTCCTATAGTAGAGGGACCAAAAAGGGTATTTAACCAAAATAATAAAATTATCCCTAAACTTCAATTTTTGGGACCAATTTAGTCCTTTGGTCGACAGAAGTGTCAGATGGCATGTTAAGTTACCATGAAATGAATTCTTGTTTTAAATCTTTAATGACGTGGAAAATAACTTACTTACCATGGCTTTTTTTTTATTCATGTCAGATTCCCACTACTTTCACCCTTCCCTTTAAGTGGGGTCCACCTAAAATATTTCTATATTTTCTAGGGTTTTGGTCTACAAAGATGAAACTTTCTTCCTTTCTCTTTCTCTTTCCTTGTTTGATCTCAAACCGTAAAACCTACAAAGTTTGCAATTTGCTTCAGTCATAAATCTCCATCAAATCTCTTCAATATAGTCTAGAAAGCTAGGCTCACATGGACCATTATACTAGGTAAAAGAACCCCAAAGAACCAGATGTTGCACCTCAAGAAGTTATAGATTTGGAGTCTATGGATATCGAGGATATGATATGTGTTGTTTCTTGATTCTCAATTGTCTTACAATGCCTTCGTTGTTTGGCTTTATCATGTTAGAATATTCTGGAACAAGGGTTGGGTTGGTCGGGTATATGAGTAACATTAAGAGAAACAAAGGACATTAGGATCTATGATGTTTATATATTTGTTTTAAAGTTACTTTTGGTCCCCACATTTGTTGTCTATATATATACTGAACTATGATTCTATCATTGTTGGTGAAAGGAATAATGGCAAAGAGGAAGAGGATCAATTTGTTTCTGGTCTTAAGGTCCAAAATGATGCTAAGGTCCAAACTGATGGTTGCAAAGTGGCTGAGGAAGCTCAAGATGAAGGTGGCCTTGAAGACGTCCTTGGGTTGTCTGATAATGATGATGATGAGACTATTCTAGCAAGGGA